CTGGTTCCCCATGGAAAACGAAACTCCATAAGCCGAAAAAGTAATCACAGAAATGCTGCGTGAGCAAAATACTTGACCCCAGGCAGCACTCGGACCTTAATCTCACCCTCACCAGGCTGAAGTGCTAACTGTTCCACCATCAGGGCTGCCCTCCACTCCCTCAGCTTAAGAATAAGCAGTGTAAATTGCGAAACTGTTATCCTCTTTTTTTCAAAATCAGTTCCTACAAAACTCAGACCGGTTTTTGTTAGAAATCATGAAAAAAACGCTCGAAAACCAACAAAAGCATGATGAACGACAGAAAATATACCTTTCGAAGTAACATTGGGGATACGGTATCACGATGATCGAGTATTGTCAGCAGATCATAATTGTCTTCCCACTTCCTCACAGCTTCACGTTCAGCTTGCCTTTGAGCAGAACAGCAATGTACAATAGCAGGGTCAATTGGATGCGCTTCGGTATTGAATATGTAGCCACCAGCTGTAACAAAGATATACCAAGCGGGTACTTGTCAGGAACAGTGGGAGATTCCGGTGAATCTAAGCAGCCATATGCTGGCACCCTGCTCTTTATCTTGACTTAGCCGCCTCCGATTTCTCATCTCATCCCAGCTGTCTCCTACAAAAACTTTTTTCCTGATTTCCTCTACTTACCTTATTTCCTCTCTTACTTTATTCTTACTATCGGAGCTTCCCTGGCACCTCTACCTATCTAGTCTCCTTAAGTAAGTTACAAAAATACCTTGGTGTCTTTGCTTCCATTTCGAATGGTACTACAAAATGAAAGAACGTCACAAAATATGTGACCAGTTGGGTGGAAGGGAGTACCATCTTTCTATCTGCACAATTCGTAACGACTATCGTAGCTACCTGGTATGAGGGGAGAAGGCTTAGGCCATTGTTTTAGTGTACATACATAGGCATCTGTTCTGGCTCAAGCAAGTGCAGGGTAGGGACACTAACAGCTCCGGAAATGAGGTAAAACAAAGAGTCCTGTGTACAGCCTCCGTCCTACTTGTAATAACTAGAAAAACTACTTATAATAACTAGAAAACAAAAGTATGAATTCAAATCAGCGCTTTATCCACAATTCAGGACAGAGCCCTCTGTCAACAGCAGCCCAGCTTGAATGTAGAGCTTGGCAGCACAAATATTCGGGCACACAGTACAAAATAAATAGTTTTATAAGAATGTAAAACCCAGAAACTTACGCATCCAACCACGCATTCTCCATTTTTGGCGTGTCCACTATTCGTGCTCTTTGCCCATCATTATGAAGAAAATTGTTCGGATCGAATATCAGATACAGATATTTTGTTGTCTCCGCCAGAAAGAACGACTCCATCCTAAAAGAGTGTGAGAAGAAATTATAAGATGCCTCCGAGTTTGCCCAACATTCTTATCAACAATGAAATCATATGTAAGTATACGAAAGGCCAACAGAGAGTGGCCGTTGATTCCGTAATTTTTTCAGTTACAGTACACGCTCTTAAAGCATCATTCAAATGATCTTAAACGCATTTTTCTATGCTTCGCCGAAAGAACATGTCAGTTTTTCATCAATGGGACATCCACGTAATCTCAAGTGGGAAGGGGAGCGCTATATGTGGCCACATTTTGAGAGAGAATTTGCCACGTATGGAAGGAATATGTTTTAGCTTAAAGTTGCTTTGACTTTTCTGCGCGTTTCTCTCCCCGTTCTCCGCATTGGCTTATCTGCCGCTTACCCGCGCGCATGAAAGCGAATTCTTAGATACGCATGGGAACTAGTAGGAAACCTGGCAGTTCGTTGCTGGGCGGGTTCGTACTGCGGCCCAAATCTTTTTACACATCACTCGAGGCATGCTCACCCTGTACCCACCTACATGATGGTCATTTTACTAAACAAAGCAATTTTATTATTTGTGCGCAGCCGCCTGCCATTGATGTGACTTCATTGAGAACTATTCCAGTGAGGTTCGTCAGTTTGGCCTATGCCTGCTTATAAATTTGGACCAGCAAAGTCTTGGCGATCGGGACCACGTACACGAGTAAGCGACAAACTACTCAGCTGATCGAGAAACTAGGGTTCTAGCTTCACAAGAAAGCAAGAGTCCCAGGAGAAACGCTATACACGGGTCGCTGATCCTCTTGAATCTTGGAAGCCCTAAAGCCGCTTGTCAGACGCACTCAGCTTTAATTTCGTATTGGATTTGAATCAAACTGATTGAAAGAGAGCAGTACTATTTCGTTCACTTACCTGTCTTCTATTGAGTGATCATTAACATTATTAATTGTTGCATAACCACATGGAGTTTTTGCGCTGTGCTCAATAGCCTGAAACAAATGAACAACATGGTTTTACCCTGAATACAAGCGCAGTTTCTTGTTCGCAGCTTATGGTAACAAAGCTATCAGTCCAGAATCACAATAAAACCGTAAAATGTGAAGTACTGCTAACTGCACACGTACAGACACACGGCAACACAGTCCCGACGGCTCAGAGCATTCGGAGCGTTCTTTCTAGTACGAGAGTAGTCTGCAGGCCCTCAGTCGCTGACTATTCGCTTTCGCGTTTCAACAATGAATTAAGGGAGGCGCTGCGGCCCCAGAACCCATAAGTAGGCAGTGCTGACGCCGGATGCCCTATTGCGCGCCCCACTACGACTCAAAAGAGTTTTCTGCTGATGATGATTCAGCCTTTATCGCCGTTTTTTGTTTGCTTTTTGTTTGATGCTATCTATGGGACGTTGAATAACGCGAGATACACTTTGCTGAAGCATAAAAGGCGAGCAGTTTGCGGCAACTTCGCACAGTAATTCTAGTTGAGTGGTCTTTCACGGGTGTTAGCTTAGACTTTTTGCGCAGTCTTTTCTCACGTGGAGATGTCACTTATCTGACTGGTGCTTCGTTATTCTCCGACGCGTCGTTAGCTCAACGATATGCAATCGCGGGGTCTGCCTTTGAAGGTCCAGCCCACGCTGGTTGTACCGGCAAAGAAAAAAACTCAGGTGTGAAAGGTCGCAGCTCCGAGGACTGTCGCAATGGCCATCATTAAAATTTTAAGGCAGAGATCATGACAAGCTGCAGCTGCAGCTGCAGCTGTAAGGCAGCGGTCGCATACTGGTACCGACATTGTGGGCATGCATGGGGTTGAGAAGGCTTCAAAAGTAGTGCGTAGCTTCCCTAACATTCGAAGCCATTTGTTGGATTTAGAGAGACGGAGGCTTGCTACAGGCTGCATATTGAGAGAACTCGAATATGAAATCACCAGTCGGATCGCGCCGCTAAACAGGCCGAGCTCATCCTTCTTTATTGGAGGCCCGGCTTCCGCCGGGCTCATGCAACTGCTCTGAGGCTCACTTCTTAACGACCCCCCTCCCCCCCCTACTTTGCTCCTTTCTTTCACGAGCTAAGAAGGCTCGTGAAAGAAAGGAGCAAAGTAAGGCATAAGCAGGGCGATACTACTGTCTTAGGCATTCAGTAGATGATCCTAATGGTGACTAAACCGGCTGGTCTTTCTAATCAAATAAATGTAGAAACGCGCCATATGATCGCAGGGCACTTTCATAATGAAAAGTTCAAAATCTGGTCATGGATAATCGATTACTCTCATCCCCATCCTATGACAGCCTTCGGTCACCGCAGTCGCTGCGTGCTCCTGTTCAGGCGAGCGTCGGCCGCGTCAATATGGTTCGCAATTTTAACTCACCTATCCCCAAATTACCCTCAGCTATTCCCCGCTCAGCCACCCTACAGGTCACGCTCAGCTGCTACACCGTGCAATGGTTCTGAGTGGCAGCAAGCAACAATGGTTGGTTGTGGAAGGGTGTCATTGTCTATCAAGAACGCACTGCCCCACACACTTGATAGAGCAACATTAATTCGGTTCAGTTCCGATTGCGGCTCATCAACCTTTTCTTCTCATCTATGGCATCGGGTCAGACGCCTTTACCGCCGCAGGCGTTTGCTCCCTATTCGCGTGAAATCGCTCTCATCTGGTACCCCTTCATACGCAAATCATATCCACTGACGACCTATTAAAACGCTCAACCCAGCATGGTATGCGTATGGCAGGCCGCCACCGTGAGGCCGCTGTGCAGACATAAGGACACTACGCCGCCACTGTTCTCGTGCTCACGTCCAGCTCCCAAGCGATCAGCTCCTGCAATAGCACAGAGTCTATCAAAGTGGTAGGCTTAGATAGCGAGAGCGATTCAGAATCCAAACAACTTCTTAGTTCGTTGCTGTAACATGGATTACCTTGAAGTTTTGCTAGCGGTTGTTTCCTTCTCTCTTGCCGCCTGCTCCTATTCATGCGAACGCTACGCATCCCCTTACTGTGTACCCAGTTTGCCCGATTCAATCCATATGCCTCCTTCCCCTGCATGGGCTCAGATCCGACTGAGTGCGCGCAAGGGATGGAGGATGGGGAGAAGGGGGGGGGGGGTCACTCGATAACTAACCGTCTCGCCACCTTTTCACTCATGCTCATCCCATTTCGTACTCGGCCATCCAATCGCCACCCACCACCGATTGCTCCTTGCACGCAACTTACGCGTCCAAACTCAATGCGAACGCAAGCAATGGCTCGGAGTGTAGTGGTTTTCTTATGTGGTGGAGAGTGTTATCACTTCGTTACGGTAACATAGAATGGCTTGCAGTTTTGTTAGCGGTTGTTTCCTCATCCCTTGGTGCGCGTTTCTACTGAAACGCGCGCTACGCACCCCTCACTGTACCCCCCTCCCGCGACCCCTTCACTCTGCCTCCTCCCATACATGTGCCCAGCTCCGGCTGAGCACGTGCAGGAGAGGGAGGCAGGGCGACTGGGCACCCCCACCCTGCCCCCGCACGAGCACACGTCCAGCTGCCACGGCAGCAGCTCGTGCAATGGCTCGGAGTGTACCGAATGGTTGTCTTATATAGCGGAGGCTGTTATCACAATCAAATCATTGGATTGCTACATCCTCCCAGTCGGTTACCGGTTTGCCTAGCGGTCGTTTTCTCCTCCAGCGAACTCGAACCCGTGAAGTATTGTGCGGACGGACAGACAAACATACATACCTACAAACCTACATACAAACATACAAACCGACACACAAAGTTACTGGTTTATAGAATGAAAGATTTAATGTTCTTACATCAACCAACTGCGCCGCAATTTCCAGGAACTGCGGGTCCTCTGTGGCTCTGTAGAGATACATCAGACTCTCTGCTATTTCAGGACGCAATGGGAAAGCTGCACGTTTTTCGGCCTGAAAAGCTGATTGATTCCCTTAATCGAAAACCAAATCTCAAAGATGTAAACCTACCGCCGAGTTTTGTATGTTGTAGAACTCTGGTGGAAAGCCGTACTGCCGAATCACTTGGGAATATTGAAGCATTATTCGAGAAGCTTCTTCGACATTACCAATCATAGACTAGAAAAATTCAGAAATCATTGGAAAAAGAAAGCTCTATAAATGCTCAGAATTTGGAGTAGTTTTCAGAAGTGGAATCGCAGCAGTAAGCTGCTATTAACATTAGCTCGTATACAGAAAGCCGGCCAGATCTGTGAGAAAACATTCGAAAACATACCAGTAATCCTGGCCAGAAGGCTTCCAAGGACTGGAATACTGGTAAGGAAACTGCGCCCTTCGTCATTGTTACCCACATGAACCAGTCACCTTTGCGAACATAGCGATTAATAGCAGAAGCGTATTCTGAAAAGGAAGAATGATTAGATGGTGAGTGTTGTGCTTAATATATTTATAACGGTCTCGAGTAGCTATTACAAAGGGTCAAACTGCCCCATCAACACATGGGCAGCTGAATTCTTCACTAACTGGTACCTGACGGTCGCGCAAAGTGGAGGAGGTGGTACAACGCGATGGATACATTTGCCATTTCTGTTCAAGAACAGCTACTTACTCCGAAACCCGCTTCCGTTCCGCGTACAATACATACTCGTCCGCCATTTCAAAGCATTGTTCAATCTACTGATGAGAAAAGAGGGGCTCTTGCTCAGCGGTGGATGGGGGATTGAAAGGACTTGGCGTGCAAATTGGTACTACTCTGGCCAAAATACACCTTCTACGGAGAGAAGTTGGTCTGCACGCCGCGGAGTTCCTTCCCTACTAAGTTCAGGCGGGAATCCTCATTTGCTCCAGCAACAACTTTGCACAGGGATTTCTTGAACAGATACTGTTATTTCTCCGTGGATCCCGCAGCTACAGCAACGTGCCACTAAAGGTATGGCAACGGGGTTGGACGGCATACTCAAAACCGCCTCCATACCGCGCCCGCCGCCGCACTGCCAGCCATATGCCTTGCAATAGGCAAACGAGCGACTTGTATACGCCCAGTCACTCCTGGTTACTTTCTAACCGCTGAGTGCGCTGTGGGATCTTGGTACCGGAGCAAGTGCTATGCCCCTGAGGATAGCACGGGCGGAGTATGGAGAGCACTCGGGTATCACTGTCCTACAGCCCCGTTCCCGGGGGTGGGGGTGGGAGTCCTTTGTGCAGTTTGTTTACAAATACTCCTTCCAGTGATGCGAAATGTGCAGGAAAGAGATTAGAGATGTCACGTAGGGGTAGAATGGAAGAACCGAAACGAAGATAAAAAAGGTAGTTGGAAAAGGAAATTGATGTCAAATGAGATGAGGTTCGCAATGGGGAATACAAAGGGGATCGAAAGTTAATTTCAGAAATTTTCTCTATGTATTCGCAGCGAATGTTAGGTTATTTTTGCAGCAAATTTGAGAACGTTCATGTACCATAGCAAGCAAAACGGGATGCCTTTTGGGGGAAGAAAATGAATGAGATGCTCTGCACGAGATTGTTAGGAATCACTTAGACATTGAGGTTCAGTGTAGACAACCTTTTGCAAAGCTAAAATAAAAGGCATGGGCGCGATGGCTGGGGCAGGTTACAGCCGACGTCTTTAGTGGAAGGGGAGAGTGGGATGTGGGCAAACGACCTCTCGCACCCCTTCCACCAATGACCTTCGCAGCAACCGCCCGCCCCCGGCCATTGTACCCACTGCCTTTGAGTGCAGCGTTACTCTTTTGGAGCTTTATTTCCCCCCCCCCCCTGCGCCTCGAATTTTAGATATGACAGCCCTAAATCAAATGAAGAGCAATTCATTTTTCAACGTTTCTATCATAGGCTTAGAAAGGTTAAGTGATAGGACAGAAACCATGGACGGATTCGTAAATGGATTGTTCCATCAGCGCTTGGACGCTTGCGAAGACGCAGCGCCTTTACACGACGAGAATTATTCAAAATACGAACACCACACGGCTCCAATACCCGCTATCAGTAGCAGTCCATTGCCTAATAGCAGGGTAGTCTGCCCATTAATTTACCATGCCAACTTCTCCAGAACCCCTTTGAGATTCCACACCGCTGCAGCAACTGATCGTACTATCTAACCTGTCCGTACATTGATGTGATTGCCTACGAGACCAAGTGACGATCGTGTCCTCCACAGTGACTCTAGCGCTTTCAGCGCCACTCGCTCGAACTGAGGATCACCAGTGAGACGGGACCGACCGGCACCAAATTCTGAAATTTTGTACAAGGTGAGGGTTCAAGCAACTGGCGTTCCATCTTTGACATATCTTCAAGGCAGTTGGCACGATAAATCGCTATACAGCTGCGAAGGATTGTACACCGAACTGGCTGCAACAGAATTCTGTGGTCCCACGTCGCGGAGCAGGCCGCACCGTGGCGCCTTTTGTTCAAGGGAGCACCCCTGTATACGCCTATCGAGCCAACCAACATTCCGTCAGAACGCTTCCCTCGCCCCGCACGTCGGCAGCCAATACGGACCGACGTCGCTAACAGGCTCGTATTCATTCATTGCTGACGCCCCCAAATTATGAAGCAAAGCGGTTTGGTATGAAGCGGGCGTGACTGCGCATGCATACGATGGGTACAGTCCATATGCGCCGTATCTTCGGCGAAGCGGGTGAGGCTGGCAAGATGCTACGCGGAAACTTTGTCCGAAACCGATGTTCGTCACTTGAAGAACGAAGGTTTTTCTTGGCCGGATTTTGACCGTTTCAGCTATGTTCTTGTCGCCATTTCTCCACTACGATAGCGCCCTACCTAGCATTTTTTTTAGGTCAGAGTGGGGTAAACTATGCGTGCCAAGCTGCCTTCAATCCAACCATTCGACTAACAAGGGAGGTCTTTCAGGTCGTGGCGCGCTTTTGGAAATGGTTTGTTGCTTGTTGTAGGGGTCCATACAAGGATCACAAAAATGGGTTTCATTTTTGCTATGCGTTTCTGGGTAGGTCAAAAACTGAGTGAAAAGAATTTGACGAGAAATCGCGATTTTAACCGTGTTAATGGGCTCTGTTGTAGCTGTAACTTTGACAGCAGCATAATTCATGAGGTGTCCCTTCACTATGTATTGAAAAGATAGCAAAGTAAAGCCAATAAGAAAGTGGACGGAGGGGAGTAATACCGAAGTTACTTGAACGATTCTCGCAACCGCTGTTTCGTGGTCGGCAGATGGCGGAGTGGATAGTGCGGTGGGCTCTCGCGAAGAAGGTTCTTGGATCGGATCCCATTGGCGACTAACTCTTTGCATTTTTCGGATACTTTATACGTTTTTCGGTTTTGGATTTACGACACCCATTCCCGGCGCCCCACGACGGCATTTTTGAGCGCACAGCGGGCAGCCTACGCCGACTTGGCTGGGCAGAGCGTTCTTCCACTGAATTGTTGCCAACCCGCACGCAGGGGCTGTTAAGCGCTCATCTCGAGGAGAAAATTTTTGCTGAAAGTCTGTATATAGAGGTTATTAATGGCCCTGATGACGATTCTGACCTTTAAAATTGGCGTCTAGGTCATTTGGCGCCAACATGGCTCTGAACACCCTCCTCACGCCAGCTGCGGGTTGGGATGCTGCGAGAATCTCTTGAGAAACTACAATGCTGCCTCACTATCGTGCCAAATAAAGTACTTTTTTACCTTGAATTGTATTGTTTCGATGGCATTGGGCCGACTGGAGGTCTCATCTGCTATGCATACTTAACATTATGAATAGAAAAAGCCTCGGAAAAAAGGGTTCAAAATCGCTTGTCCCCAGCAAACTTTGCACTCAGTTTTTGACCTACCCAGAAACGCATAGCAAAAATGAAACACCATTTTTGTGATCCTTATTCGGACCTCTACAACATGCAACAAATCATTTCCGAAAAGCGCGCCACGACCTGAAAGACCTCCCTTGTAAGTTACAAGAACCGTGTGCCCGTTACTATGGCAATCATGTGCAGTTGGGGATAGTAGCAGAGAGGCGAGACGAAAATAGCACACACTGAAAGAATGCATGTTCCTAGTGAAATTAGCTCGCTGGACTGCGTTCATACTCCACAGAATGGACGAAGGACAACCAGACGTCATCGGAGTGGCTGGCAGCGGAATGCATAGCTAAAAATCTGGGGAATTAAGAGAATGGGAGGATCAGCAATTTGGCTTTTGGGAGGACGCGCGGCAAAGCTAGCGGTTTGAGAAAATATCAGCAGCTGAATTGAAAAAACGCGAGCTCGACAGTAGCCCATCGACTCCTCCACTTCCCTTCAGCTTCCGCATTTCGAGAAAGTCGAATTCGCCAGATTCCCTATCTTTTCTAGAATCGCAAAGTAGGAACTCGGATTTGTTGAAACAAATGGAACATCTGCAAAAGCTCACCAACAATAAACGTTCCAACGCCTGCTGTACATGTGATGGGAGTTTCACTCTTGGGCACACCATACTTCAAGTTCACCGTTCCATAAGGCATTCCTGTTTCTGCAATTCAGTCCTTTTCCTCTCAAATGCTATCCATATGTAACAACATAAAAATTCTCGAAGGAACATGAATTCAAGAAAAATTATCGACAGTGGAAAACAATGTAGTAAACGATGTCAGTGTTGAAGCATTGCGAAAAGCGAAGCGAAGAAAACCAGTTGAGAGGGGTCGCTGGAATGGGGGTGGGGTGAGCGGCTAGCGTGACAAGTCTGCTCACTGCACTGTTCCACCAAGACGGTTAGCCCCTTTTCCGCTTTGAATACAAACCGTACACTAACCTACGGGAACGATCCGTCATATGCGTGGGTTGAATGAGTCCCAGTGACGAGCCCAGCAGTTTTTGTCTGGCCTGAAAAGCGGCGGGAACGGTGTGTGGAGGGGTAGCTGGTACTCGATGCCGTCTCCATACTTCGCCCGCGTTATCCTCAATGTGGAGCGCGCCAATACCAAGATTTCGCGGCGAATTACCACTCAGCGGTAGAAAAGGATCAGAAGTATGAGAGCGCCCACAGGTCGCGCGTCTGGTTAGTTGTCTGGTAGTATAGTTAGGCGTGTGGGCGACCGTGCGGCAGCGCAGGCGGTATGCAGACGGCATCTGGATATCACCACCTTCCAGCCCACAATTCCTTGCTTTTTTGACCGCAAAATTACACGCTACTGCA